AAAAATATCAACTGCCAAAATGCATTTATTATTATTTATCATTCCTGTGTGATTAAATAAAGGATATTACATGGGTGCATGGAAATATTGTGCTAACTCGTGGGATATATAAATTCAAAACTTGAAGATAAAATTGATATCTTCAAGCGACAGCTGTAATGTTCTGTCCATTAAATGACATTGGTGTAAGCAAAAGTCTGTAGTTACACAAACATTAGAAGATCAAAAAGTTTGAACATTTCAAGAATATGAATTTATGATTTCTGCATGATTGAATAATGCCAAAACTTTCAAAATGCATTTATATTATTTGATGATTCCTGTAAAGATTGAAAAATATCAACTATTAAGAATTTAAAACAACAAAATTGCAAACAATTTCTATTGACATGATGCATTTGTTATTATTTTTATTATTTCTGCATGATTGAAAAATTTCAAAACTGTCAAAATGCATTTGTTATTATTTTATGATTCCTTTAATGATTGAAAAATACCAAAACTGCCAAAATGCATTTAATATTATTTATAATCCTGTATGATTGAAAAATGTCAAAGTTTCAAATATTAAGAATTAATATTAATTTATGATTTCTGTAAGATTATCTAAGGAAGTTTTATTTTGGTAAATAACCAGAAGTGGTTTTCTTTACATATAATTATATATATCACTGATTTGCATCAACAAAGCTGAAGAGAAAAAGTTTAATAATTATTTAATGTAGTGCCATGGATTTTTTTTTGTTAGCAAAAATAAATTAGTCTTGACAAAACATGTACTCAAAATCTGACTAATGTGTCTTGCATGATTGCATCACATCTTCATCCAACATCCATATCTTTTGGGAGCTCCGCTATTAGGTTTTACCTAATTTTTATATTAAGTATTTCTGAAGCTTTTACGTCACCAATTTGATTTGCATTGCATTGCGGGATCAGTTTGTGCAGAAAACAAAATAAATTCGTCATGTTTTGTCCTTAACATATCCTACAATGCATTGCGTATGCGGTATATGACACAAAAGCTTTCGTGCCGAACTTACTTCAAAAAATGGCCAATAAAATGTAAATAATAGTAATAGTTTTTGCTGAGCTTATTTCATTTAGTAATACGAAAAAAATATCAATGATTGTAAATAATAATATATATTGATGAGTACTGAGGAACCTTGTTAATCCGGCCCTCCGTAGGGATATCGAAAAGTGGCCGTTTTAGCGAGTTGGCGAGGATTTTTAAGGAGAGTGTTTCTTCAGGACAAAAGAATCTTGCCGTTATAAAAAAAATGGTCGTATTGAGCGGTCGGTAAAGCGGGGTTCCACTGTAGATGTTTCAAGCTTACCTTTTGATTTACACATATACAAGTTGAAGTTATTGTAACCAATAAAAGAAAATAAACGTAAAAAATTGAAATATTTTTTATTTGTTTTATTAAAATACCTAGAAGTATTAAAAATCAGTATTTATTCAGATAGAGCTATGACGAGGTATGTTAGAATGAAGTACATTAAAACCTGTGAAATAAAATTTGACTGTTTAAGTTTGATAGTCAAATAGACAGTAAAGAAAACAATGTAATTACACTAATTGCTATATACTTATGTCTTATGCCTCACTCTAAATTGTTTGTCTTTTCTTTTGCTTTGTCTTACGCTAATTGCTTTGCTTAAAGTAAAGTCTTATGCCTCACTCTTAACTTCATTGTTTGTCTTTTCTTTTGCTTTGTCTACGCTAATTGCTATGCTGATGTCAATGTCTTATGTTCACTCTTAACTTGATTGTTTGGTCTTTTCTTTTGCTGTCAATTTATGCTTTTTAATGCCCATTTTTTCATATATTGTAGATTGGTCAAGTGGCGTTCAAAGGAATGAAATCTCTAAACAGAATCCAGTCCATCGTTTATGATTGCGCATATAACACAAACGAAAATCTGCTGATCTGTGCTCCCACGGGCGCAGGGAAAACCAACATCGCGATGATGACCATTGTGAGGGAAATCAAGCAAAACATCGAAAATGGAGTTATAAAGAAAGATAAGTTTAAGGTAAATTGATCTTAGTTTTTTATCTTAAAAATATATTGAAAAGGTGCGTCCTTGTAATGGATTATTTGCTGTGCTGCTCTCGATATGATAACAGGTTGGGTTGGTCCTTCTTGGCCCTGCCCTCTGGATAGTTTGAATAGAAAACATTTTTCCCTTGAAAATGTGTGTTCATCGGGGACGTAAATCACTCCTGGAACCGAATTATTTAATTCGATTTTGAAATTCGGACCCAGTTCCTTTTTCGTTTTGTTATCGGGCAATAGACTTCTGAACCTTTTACGTCACTACTTGATTTTCAATGCATTGTGGGATCAGTTTCAAGAGAAAACRAAAGAAATCCGCCATGYTTTGTCCCAAACATRTCCTACAATGCAYTGCGTATACGGTACATGACGTAAAAGCTTCAGAGGTCTATTACTGTTCATTTTCAGATTGTATATGTGGCACCAATGAAAGCTTTGGCAGCAGAAATGGTGCGTAATTTTGGTCAGCGGTTAGCACCACTTGGGATCTCTGTACGTGAACTAACAGGTGATATGCAGCTTACAAAGTCTGAAATACTCAAAACACAGGTACGGTTTATAAATAACCAAATATAGCTTATATTAGACAATGGAAAACAAAGGAATTCGCATTGAGTGAAGTCAAAAAGCCAGTGAAATAGATTTTTTAAATTTTCATCCGTCTGTGAAACAATTACTACTAGTCAGTGTCTATTCGACTGTCATACTTTAATACAAGGCAATGACTTTAATACTTAAGGAATAAAAGACGAAATTCCGTGTTTGATACTCTGATCAAAACACGCGGGATGTAGGGAGAGCACGAGAGAAGCGTAGGAAACCACGACGCGTAGCGGAGTGGTTTCCAGCTTTTCGAGTGCTCTCCCTACATCCCAAGTGTTTTGATCAGAGTATCAAACACGGAATTTCGTCTTTTATTTCTTTTCTAAAATTAAAAGAAAAAAAGAAATTTTTGACGTGCGCGAGCGTGTTTTGATACTGTAATCAAACATGGTTTTCGACCAATCACAGCGCGCGTAGTATCCTAAATATTTTAGAAAAGGCAATGACTTCACACTCAGCGTGAAAAGGTACCAACCAAGTAGTGCTGTAACAACGGAGAGTAGGTTAAACAATAGTCTCCTTCACGGTTACCTGCGCCATGTTGAAAGGTAGCCGTGCCTTTGCGTCGAAGCGAGACGAACGTTGATCGTGCAATGATAGAAACCTTCTTTCACACCTACAGATAATTATTCACAGGTTTCTATCAATGCACGCTCAACGGTTGTCTCGCTTCGATGTAAAGGCACGGCTACTAGTTTCAACATGGCGCATGTAACCATGAAGGAGACTATTTAAAACAAAGCAGTTCGCTCGATTCAGTACAATTAAGCAGTATTTTTAAATGAAAATTAGTAAAGTTTTAGAGTTTGCACTACTGAATACTCTGAAAACTTGCTCTTTAATGTTTTGATAGATGTTAGTAACCACGCCTGAAAAATGGGACGTTGTCACGAGAAAAAGTACTGGTGACGTTGCGCTTGCTCAGATTGTAAAACTGCTGATCATTGACGAAGTTCACTTGCTGCATGACGATAGAGGCTCGGTTATTGAGTGCCTGGTAGCAAGAACACTCAGACAGGTAATGGCATTTACACTTATGACGTCATGTGTGTTTTAGCGAAGTGCATCGTGGGCCTGATGAAAGTACCAAGATGGCTGATGTCAGGCGCATGTCTTGGCAGCGACATTAGGGGAAAGGTCCATTATATTCGAGGACGAGTGGTGCATTGTTTTTACGTAATGCAGGTTGCTTGCCTTTTGAGGTTGAGGCATCCTAAGTGCGGTTTTTAAGTAAAGTTGTAGCTTACCTGTTTTTTTAGACATCTTAAAGCGTGATACGTATGGTAAGTCTGACTGCTACGTTGCGCAGTTTTTACGTAGAACAAATCTGTGAGATCTTTAAAAGACATCATGACACGTATAACCTCTGAGTTACGTAAGGTAGTATACGCTACGTATATATAAATTACTTTTGTGCATTAGGTTGGAACATCACAAAGCATGATACGTATATTCTCTACGTTGCGTAAGGTAATATACGCTACGTAATATATATTACTGTTCTACGTAGGTTGAAACATCTCAAAGCATGATACGTATAGTCGGCCTGTCCGCTACGTTACCGAATTACCAAGACGTTGCGCGGTTCTTGCGTGTGAGTCCATACGAGGGACTGTTTGTGTTCGATGGACGGTTCCGTCCCGTACCGCTAGAACAGACTTTTATTGGCGTGAAAGGAACTGGCGTGTTTCAAGTAGCCAATGAGATGGACAAAGTGTGCTATGATAAAGTATTTGATCACGTGGATAAAGGCTATCAGGTAAATCAACTAACTTTTATTTCGGTGATTGTTTATAAGATTAGAGTCATCACACTTGTACCGTGAAATATTATCAAAATAAACAGTAAATATTAGTGTCTATTTATTGACTAATAGTAGATATTACTGAACCGAACACAGTTCATGAAAACAAAAGCCAGTACACAAGAGACTTGACAACTGCCATCTTTATTTCATGTACAATCAAGACAAAAGACACATCTAAAGCTAAAATAACCACACAGTACGCAAGGAAACGCGTTTCCGGGAATCTTTATTTATTTGCGCTGCTGTGGAATCAAGACACAAGACACATCTAAAGCTAAAATAACCACAAAAGACGCAATAAAACGCGTTTGGAGTCTTTATTGTCTGCGCCGCAGCAAAATTATGACAGAAGACATTGTAAGGCTAAATTGAAAATACTGTAACAATAGAGGCGATTTCGTATGAGTGGGAAACGGCGATGACGAATCGCGTCCGTACCGTAACAGTACCGTAACTATATCGTATTCATGGATTCTGATTTGTTGGCATTTTTTTCTGCTCACACCTGATTGGATTGATTGGTATGTACCGACGCGAAACTGCTACAAACGCAGTCCTGAACGTGCTGTCCGAGACGTCGCCTCAAAAACCGGAAGTGAAAAATAGCTCGTTCCAGTCTATGCCGTCCTGATGCTAAATCAGTCTATTATGTTTCACGGTACAAGTGTGATGACTCTATAGACTTTTCATTGTTTTACTCCTAAAATGATCGTTTTCATCGATTCCCATGAGATTCAAAAGATAAAAGGCCAGCGGCCATGTTGGAGGAATGGACAATAGATACTAATAAGAAATAAAGTTCCTCCAAGATATGGCCGCTTTGACGTATAATGAAAACGAAGAATTGCTTTTCAAAATGCATAAGTTATACTGTATGTTCCATTTGTTCTTCATGCAACCATGAAAAGTGTAAACATGAACATCTTATTTCGATTTTTTCCTTCAACTTCCTCGAAAATCATGGTATTGTTATGCTTATATCACGCAGGAAACTACAGTTTTTACAGTTGGTTAACATAATCCGACAATTTTTTGTTTTTATTGTCTCGACCAATCACACTCTTCGTTCTGACAGTATTGGTCGACCCCATAATAACCAGTTGCATGTGTTCAAATATCCAATATAGCTACAAATATGAATTATCTGACAGGTAATGGTTTTTGTACATGCGAGGAATGCAACCGTGAAAACAGCCATGAACCTTCGCGAGATAGCAAATAACAATGGCGACTCTCAGGTGTTTAGAGCGGACCAGGACCCGGCCTTTGGGCTTGCACAGAAACAGGTAGTCAAGTTACTCATTTGGTATATTTTTCTCTCTATTTTACTCGTTCACAAAAAATAGACCTCTGAAGCTTTTTACTTCGTATACGAGGTATTCGAGGGCGCTATCATTATGAGCACAATCACATAGTTACAACACACACACAAAGCAGCCAACCAACCGACCCATATCTGATCACGGAGCACAGCTAGGATAAAAAATCCCCTCGTGCCCCCAGAGCCTCGTCCTCAGTCCTTCTGTGTATTCAAATAACACTAATTTGTCGTAATCTCTTTCATGAAGTGAGGTTTAGTTATGATAAGGGAAATTTTAAAACTTGTTCATAGTTTCCTTTATAATTCCGAAAAGGCAAATTAAACCATATTAGAGAGTTTTAGCATCACGTTTACGGCAAACGGCTAGAGGCAGAGCTGAACCAATGACCAGGTAGAGCGGATTTCGTATGACTGTGCAAAAGCACGGATCACAACACGGACACGGCACGGCACGGTCACGGAACCTCGCCTTCTAGGATTTCAAATGAAAGCAAAGATTTTCCAATGCATCACGGCTACGGTACGGTACGGACACAGCACGAACGTACCGTGTTTTTTTGCACAGTCATACGAAATCCGCTCTAGTCATTTGAAAGAGCGACTTTTCACGATTAGGGCAAACTCAAAATAAACCACTTTCGCGTTGAAACTGCAACGGTAAATCCCTAAAACGCAGGTCACGTGATCTTTTCTGACGTTTGCCGTTTGCCGCGAACGTCATGCTTAAGCTCTCTATTGTAAATGGGCTAATGTTTTTGCTTCTAGGTGATGCGGTCAAGGAACAAGCAGTTGCGTGAACTGTTCAGCGATGGTTTTAGCATTCACCATGCAGGGATGCTTAGACAGGATCGTACGATGGTCGAGCAGTTGTTTTCTAAAGGTCTTATCAAAGTCCTGGTTTGTACGGCTACACTTGCTTGGGGAGTCAATCTCCCCGCTCACGCTGTGATTATAAAGGTATGAATTCAAAGCTGGAGTATTGCGAGAGGAGACAGAATCCCATAATGCTTTTCTCGAGAAAAATAAATGACGTCATTGCACATGCTTATTGGATATGTATTATCTGAACACAGGGAACCCAAGTGTACGACGCCAAGAAGGGTTCGTTTGTTGATATTGGTATTCTAGATGTCCTTCAGATCTTTGGAAGAGCTGGACGCCCGCAGTTCGATACGTTTGGTTCGGGGACTATTATTACAAATCATGATAAACTAACGCATTATTTATCGCTACTTACCAGGCAGACTCCCATTGAAAGCTGCTTAACGGCTAGTCTTGCTGACTGTCTTAATGCTGAGGTAAGTAACCTTTTTCGTCGTCATTTCTTATATTCCGTAAGTACACTGACTAGCTAGTACTCCATAAAGAATATCGCGCTGTCGCATGTGGGGCAACAAACTTGTTTTCCTAGGTCGCTCGCTCGCAGAAGTATTTATCAGATTTGGTATGCAACTGCATTATGTCATACATAACGGTCAGTGCACGGAGAGTGTTGAGTTTTTGCACACGTACACGCATGCTCTATTGCCAGCACACCATCATTCTGATGAAACAAATCGACAGATATCAAGATTGAGCTTTGCTATTCGTTTGTTATAGTAAGGACGCATCCGCCATATCGAAGTTATTCTGTTAATTATTTTTTATATTTTCGTAGATATCACTAGGTACTGTTACAACAATAGACGAAGCTGTCCAGTGGCTAAGCTACTCGTACCTCTACATCCGTATGTTAGTAAATCCACTCGTATATGGGATATCGTACAATGAGAAGGAGGTAAGTTCCGCCAAAATGGAGGGCGGTTAATCTTCGAAGTATGCGCTTTTCGAATATAACTTTTCAGTTGCACTTAGGCCTCGATAACAAGTTAATTATTCTTTTGAATTTGACAAATTTTTTGTTTAGTTTAGTGTGCATGTTTTTGCTCAATCATTTTGCAATTTCTAAAGTCCGAAAAAAATGTGCACGGTCTTGACTGATTCAACCTCAAAATACATACACAAGATGTACAAAAGAAGTATAACAACAGGTTTCCAAGCCATTCCCCTCTATTAATTATGCTATGAGATACTTTTTCATACAATTCAATTTGATATATTATTACTAAATACTAAGAACAAACAAAAAAGCAAACACACAAAAAAAGCTGAGAACATTGAGCCCTAACTAGCCTCTGTTCCAGACGTTTGAAGACGAAGAACTCGTCCGCAATTGGGGCTGAACTCTCAGGACGATTTTTAACTCGAAGATTGCGAAGTAATCGAAGAGTTATTGGAGGGGGACGAATCTGTCACTCACCAAGTCATTCAGTCACTCAGTCACTCACTTTACTGTAAACATGAGACTGCGTTACTTATGTCCAGAATTATCAATTAAATGTTGTTGTTTTTTTCTTGTCAAATCAGAATGATCCACTTCTCGAAGAGTATCGCCGGAAACTGATAATTAACTCGGCCATCAAGCTGGATAAAGCCAAGATGATTCGCTATACAGAGAAACAAGGATTTTTATCAGCGACTGATACTGGTAGAATTGCTAGCAATTTCTACATCAAGCATGATACCATAGAGGTGAGGGCTACCTTTATTTCATTGAGGGTGCGAACCTGATACTGTATTAATTATATATTTAAACAATAGTAGAGTACAAAATGTGTGCAACACTTTCCACTCTTTACTACAAAATAGTGTTAATTAAACAATAGAAAACAATAGAATTAGCATAATTTAGCAGTATTCAGTGGTATTTATGTTGCACAGTTTTAGTGTTTGTACTCTAGTCTAATGGAGGGCATTATGTAATAGTTACAAAATGAGCGTCCGTGTTGTATGTAACGTTTACAACACTCTTCATGGTTGTGATTTCTATTGTGTTTTCCTCATTAATTATTCATGAGTTTTACAAGCCGTGATATTTTTCCGAAGAAACCAGATGTTACGATGTAATAAATAGTCACCTTATAGATCTAGAACTAGTTTGAGGGCGACTATGAAGTTTCCAAAAGCGTCAAGTTTCCAAGGGCAACACTCACCCGAGATTTAAATTGCTCTATTATTTCTTATCATTCAACAACAAGCTTTTCTAAAGCAGAGGGCTCTATGCACTGATAGCAACCCTCCACGTCACGTGGTCATCTCTCGACCAATGAGAGCGGAGGAAAATTTCATGTTGAATTACATAATTACGGAATATTTCAATTCCAGGAGTTTAATGGGCGATTCAGAGCAGACCTATCGCTTTGTGAGATCCTCGAGATGTTATCGCATGCCACAGAGTTCGAACAAGTCAAGGTAAGTTATCATATGAGCGTGTATATTGGAGGCTGGGTACGAGTAAATGGAGTGATATGATTGGTTGATATCGATTTTTCCCAGTAGACCGCGCGGGCTGCATGATGACGACGGAGTCTAACTTGCTGCTATTTCCAGTGGCACTGTGTACTGGTGAATTCCAAAATGCTAATAAACCCATTAAAAAATGGCGGACAATCAACATAATAAATGTTTTATACTGAATAGCCTCTTGATATGTTTTTTTGTTGTTGTTATTATTAAACGCCATTTTTTTCACAATCTACAAATTAGATCACAAATTAGCCAGTCTGCTTCCAACAAGGTCTGAATGCAGAAAACTGAGGAACAATAGAACTTTCAAAATACATATATGTAAAACAGATCGCTATAAAAAATCTTTCATCATTATTCATCTTCATTGAATTGATGTATAAAATGCTTTTATACCTTAGCTTCTTATTTTACACTATATATTTATAAATTTAATTGTACTTATGAACTCTTTTATTATAGATAAATTTATTATAGAGTATTTTTTATTGCACGTAATTCAGTCGGAAGACTGCTAGGTGTTATATTTTAATAAACGTTCTATCTATCTATCTTAAGTATTACCATACTAGTGGACTATTGCAAATCCTTCGTTCTGATTGGCTACGCTACTCGGGGTCTATTTTCAATAGTCCTCGACTAGCGAAAAGCGACAACTTTTTGCGTTTTTTTAGCAATCAAAACGTTTAGTTATTTATATATTTCATCCATTTTTTGTCCAACTAGTGTGGTAATACTAAAACAATTAGATCTCTCGGCCTCGTGAATTACGAGCTGATAGACCATTCGGCCTTTGGTTTAATGGTCTTTCAGCTCGTAGTCCACTCACCCTCGAGATCTAATTGTTAAATAATTCATAGGTACGCGAGGACGAGTTATCCGAGTTGGAAAAACACTCACACGACGACTGCCTAGAGATCGCTAAAGGTGGTGTAGAAAACACTTATGGCAAAGTAAACATACTGCTACAAACATACATTAGTCGAGGCTACGTCGAGTCCTTCTCTCTGGTATCAGATACAGCCTATGTAGCACAGGTATGTTTTTCGTTTGCAATATTAGTCACAGCGGCCATCTTGGTTGAACTTCATGAGCGAACAGTTTAGGGAGTAGAAGTTTGACCATTTAATAGAGGTCATGCTTACACTATAAATGCAAATAATAATCGACTTTTGGGAAATTCATGAGCAAACGGTTTAGGGAGGGTGGCCGCTAAACAGAGGGTCGACTGTAAATACATTAAAAAAGAAAATGAAGTGTTTTTTTTTTTGAATCTCAAACTTCTCTTCCTCTCAGAATGGAGCTCGACTTATCCGAGGGCTGTTCGAAATGGCCATGCGAGCTGGATACCCAATCTTGGCCAACCGACTACTAACGCTAAGCAAGACAATCGACAAGAGACTTTGGCATGATGAGAATCCTCTTCGACAATTTACAATCCTTAAACCTGAGATACTGAATAGGTTGGAAGCTCGTAGAGCTACTTTGTCAGTTCTTCGGGATATGAAACCATCGGACATAGGTGAGGCTGAACTATGGGCGAATAATTTGTTTACATTTCATCTTAGCATAAGCATATATACCGTTTTAACCTAACTATCAGTAAATCAGCACTGAATATTGAAGCAACATTGAACAATAAGCTTTCCTCGCAATTTCAAGCTTCTCATATGGAATACTTTTTGCGTCAAACGGTTTTAAAAACTCCATTTTTTAGAGAGATGATATGAGCTATTTAGTGCTTTTGCCACTCAGCATCTTTGAACGCTGATATCTCATAAACTATTGCATGTAAAGATCTCAAACTTTCGTAGTTTATAATTCTTAATAAGCACTTTAATATTGCACCCTAGTTATTTATAACTTTGACGATCCTCAGGTCATCTTGTACATCACGTAAACATGGGCCAGACTATCAAGTCATGCGTTGATAGATTCCCAACAATTGCCATAGCAGCGAGCATCCAGCCAATCACAAGGACAGTTCTACGCGTGCGCCTTACCATTAAGCCCGAGTTCGAATGGAATGATAAGATCCACGGTAGCTGCGAGCCGTGGTGGATCTGGGTCGAGGATCCGGACAATCAGCATATATATCACTCCGAGTATTTCCTTCTACACAAGAAGCAGGTGAATGTTGATGCTGATATTTAATTCATCATGATCATCAATTAATAGACTAATAAATTTCTATTCATATACACGTACACTCGGGATAAAACTGTTGGAGCTAGGATGAGAATTCAAATCCCTTTGGTCGTTCTTAGAGGGAATGAAAACCTCTGTATGAACGAGTGGTCGATTATTGCGTTGCAGTAAGGATGTTGAAGGTGCTAACAACGTGACGTCACTAACCGGAATCCTTACGATCTTTTGTTTATATTAGAAAATAAGAATACTTCGTAATATAAGCAAAAACGTATTCTTTATTATTCCTTAATGCTTTGTGAATAAGTCCCTCATTTTCCATATATTAAAATCTAATGCATAAACACATTGAATTTCCAGTTTCTTAGGGACCTTAAAGTCCCATTTCAGTGGCTGTTACCTACTTTTTTAAATCTTTGCTTGCCACTCCTCGCGTTCAGTATGCCATTATTTTCACAACTTACACAACATCTTCCGTGTTTCTCGTCATTTTTTGTCATTATTATTTTGATACAGTTAAATTCAATATAAAAAAATCTTTTGATTTGATATATTTAAGAAATTTTTTCATCTATCGTTGTCAACAACATTGTCATAATATTTGTAGTTATCAGAAATATAATCCATTCTTTTCGATCATTCTGAATTTCAGGTCGTTTCAGAAGAGGAACAATTCCTGGTATTCACCATACCAATCTTCGAACCCCTTCCCCCACAGTATTACGTCCATGCTGTATCGGACAGATGGCTTGGGGCCGAGACTGTGTGTGCGATATCATTTCAGCATCTCATTCTCCCTGAGAAACACCCTCCTCACACTGAGTTGCTTGACCTTCAGCCTCTGCCCGTCAGTGCCTTGAGGAACCATCAGTACGAAGTGTTGTATAAGTTTAGTCACTTCAATCCAGTACAAACTCAGGTAAGATGGAGTGCAAACACCAAAAAGAGTGAAAATGTACTAACAGGGTTCGTGCTACTCCTTGAAATCCTTGAAAAAAGTCCTGGAAATGAAAACTCGTTTTCAGAGGCGCTTGAAAGTCCTTGAAAATGGGCAACATCGCTAAAACTACTGAAAAACTCCTTGAATCTGATAAAATTGACATGTTGATTTTTAGCTTTCGGATTGAAATATGGCTAAAATCGCCACTTGAAACGTGTGCAAACAGCAATAAAAATACGCTAATTGAAAATCACATTTTCCACTTAAAAATGTGTTATCGTTAATATATTTCCAGGAACATATTTGGGTCGTTTTCATTTGACCTAGCAATACCCCATCTGGCTTCCTTGCACTGTGCAATGCTCTAGCAACTTGCGAGACAAACTGATAAGAAAAGTCACACTTAAAGACGGGTTCTGATTTATTAGCCTACCTAGTTGCCTTAGGGGAGGGGAGGGGAAGGAAGGGCTTATTTGGTGCATGAGCTCGCTGCACTACCCTACGCCTGAATTTATAGGAAATTTCTTGATAGTGTTTGTATATACTATGCATGTTTTCAGGTGTTTCATACTGTATACAATACAGACCATAATGTGTTGCTTGGGGCACCAACTGGGTCGGGCAAAACAGCCGTTGCAGAACTCGCCATTTTCAGAGTCTTCGAGAAATACCCAGGGTCTAAGGTTAGTATATAGTACACTTTTATAAAAATACACTTGCAATCTTGAATTCTATGTATAGACACTAATTTGAAACTCAATTCCGTAAAAATTATTGGAGAAATGGTCATAAAAATAGGTTTTGAGATAAATGGGCCAAACTGATCATGCGCGAACCACTTTACAAAGCACTTTTGTCATGCCACATTAAATACGCATAAAGTAAAATAGAAGTGCTGGTGAATTTTCGTCAAAATTCAAGATGGCGACCGATTTAATAAATAATAGTATAATGACTGAATGACTGACTAGCAATTTTTTCAACAGACCGTCTACATTGCACCTTTAAAAGCTTTAGTTCGTGAACGCATTGAAGATTGGAAAGTTCGATTTCGCCAAAAGCTTGGGAAAAAGTAAGTTGTTCCGCTTTTTTAAACAAAGATTATTTTTACCGCTATGCTGATGGCGTAGTCAAAACCAGGCCTAAAACCCTAAAACCAGCGATTTGGAAATTATTTTTCCGAGTTTATTTCCAGTGGTCTTTCTCCCGGAATGACCTCCTTCTAATTAAGTACTATTCATTTCCATTATTGTTATATCATGTTTGTCATAGTGCCGTGCGGTTCTCATATATTCATATCTTTAAAGGGCTACTTGGACGAAAATTGCGAAACATTAGAAAAGACTTGGAAATCAAATAGACCTGTCCATATGGGTGTAATAATCATGAAGCAACAGATTACAAGAAAAATATTCATGCAAATCCTTAATAATTTGGGCAAAAAATGTTGGAGTAGATGACGTCATCTATCATCTACTCAATCCTTTTGTTCTTCCATCTTTTGAATCAAAATTTCTCTGATTTGGGATAATTCCAAGACAAATATTTTCCCGCAATTGTTTTTAATAGATATAAATGAGTCATATATTTGTATTGCTTGAAGTTTTGAAATAAGGCCATTTTCATGCAAGCAGCACTTTAAAACCAGGACTAACACTATTCTACCTAGGGTAATTGAACTAACCGGCGACGTCACGCCCGATTCTCACGCAATCAGCCAAGCTGATGTCATAGTCACCACACCTGAGAAGTGGGATGGTATTAGTCGAAGTTGGCAGACGAGAAACTACGTCAAAGCAGTGAAATTATTAGTGATAGATGAAATTCATCTGCTGGGGGATGACAGAGGACCAGTTCTTGAAGTCATTGTGTCAAGAAGTAACTTTATTTCGTCACATACTGAAAGTAAAGTGAGGGTTGTTGGTTTGTCGACTGCTTTGGCCAATGCTCAGGATCTTGCCGATTGGTTGGGGATTGGTAATGTAAGTACTTGTCGACTTTGTGATCAGTTCATCGGATCAACCACTACCGTCAGAATGAAGCTTGTGATTGATCGAGACAACGAAAACAAAGAATTGTAGGATTATGTCAGACAATGCCTATTGTTCTACTGGACATCTTCGTTTTTTGTAATGCTTGTCTGTCTTTGCTATTTCATCAAATCACAATCTTTGTTCTAACATTGAATAAACCGGATCATCGAAAATGGAATATTGAGCGTTTTCATTAACCACAGCTCCATTTCTCCTTCACACAGGCTGGTATGTTCAACTTCCGCCCATCGGTCCGCCCAGTCCCTCTCGACGTGCACATCAATGGCTTTCCCGGCAAGCACTACTGTCCGCGTATGGCTACAATGAACAAGCCAGCCTTCAAAGCAATACTTACTCATTCCCCAGAAAAACCTACACTTATCTTCGTATCGTCAAGACGACAGACGAGATTGACAGCACTCGATTTAATAGCTTTTTTGGCCGCCGAAGACAATCCAAAACAATGGCTACATATGCCTGAGGAAGAGGTATAAGAAAACTCTGTCATATTGTGACAGAAACCTATAAGGGACTTGAAGAATATTCAAATCTAATTTGCATCTCATTTCCTTATTTCCAACAATTAAATCTCTTATCTAATGGCCGAATTTTCCAAATATGGTCATAACGTTTGTTAACGAATTTTTAATGAGCTTTGAATATTTCAACGCTTGGTACTAAAGGAATGTACGGACGCTACACGTTTCAAGTCCCTTATAGGTTTCAGTATAAACGTCTTTTGTTCATGCTGCCAAATATGGCGTTCTTTGTACTGAAGCTAGACCACAATGCACAATGCTTTTCTTTTCTTCATCACTATCTGACTTTCTTCTTTCGTTTGTTCTTGTGTAGATGGACTTCATCTTAAGAACGATTCATGATACCAACCTAAAATTAACGTTATCATTTGGCATTGGTTTGCATCATGCTGGGTTGCACGAACACGACCGAAATTCAGTCGAGGAGCTTTTTGTTAATCAAAAAATACAGGTAATTCAGGTTTTAGCAACTTGTCTGACAAGTTTAATTTTTTTTTACCCGTGAAACAGTGTCTTGTACTCATTTGCACCTCTTTTCTAAGTATTTCACGGATATGATACATTTGAGTTGTGGCTCGTAACCCATGAACCGAGCGCAAACTAGATGTACTGAAAAACATACATAGTCACCCTGAATAGAGTTCGATAATGACTTTAAAGGCCCAGTTTGCACCATTATGCTTTGCGAGCCTCTGTTATTGTTATGATTTACACCAAAATACTTCTAGTATCCAAAGATCACCATAAAACGAAGTAAGATGGTTGAAAACTCGAATATTATCATTACGATGTAAGCGCTACTTCAACCTAACAGTTATTTATTTTCGTCGAGCTTTCGGCTCGCCGAATAGACCGACCTACAACCATTTATTTGATCGAATATTATCGTTTAAAGTGCTTAGAAAAGTGAGATGGTCAAAGATTCGAAACGCACAGTACATTTTATAGACTTTCGGTAACTGAAAATGGCCGCCCGAGGGCCCCAAAGCATGCATAATGGTGTACACTGGGCCTTTAAGTTTGGAGGAACATCCAGTCACAGCAAAATGCCCGAGAATTGAACTGCTCTATTATTTTCGTTATTCAACAACATAATGTTCTGAAGCTTCAGGCTCTATGCACTGGCTCTAGTGCCACTCCGTGGCGGGCACTATCAGTCGTCACGTGGTGGGCTCTTCAACAATAAACTTATCTTTACTTGCGTTTACAGATCTTAATAGCAACTAGTACGCTCGCTTGGGGTGTCAATTTCCCAGCACACTTGGTCATTGTAAAGGGAACGGAGTATTTTGATGGCAAACACAACCGTTACGTTGATTTCCCGATTACCGATGTTTTACAAATGATGGGGCGGGCAGGAAGACCGCAGTATGATGATCAAGGAAAAGCTGTTATCCTTGTCCATGACATCAAGAAACATTTTTATAAGAAGTTCTTATATGAACCATTTCCGGTTGAATCGAGGTAAGTAGCAACCTCATGCGCAGGCTCTTTTCTCTTTAGCTAAGAGAATAAGTCTGTCATCCTTGTGCATGACATCAAGAAACGTTTTTATAAAAAGTTCTTGTATAAATCATTTCCGGTCGAATCGAGGTGAGTTGCAAACTCGTGCGCAGGCTCTATTTAACTAAGAGATTGAGTCTGGGAACGAGTTTTGGAATGAGTGGGCCTGGGAACGAGTGGACGCACGATGACGCAGTTTTTTTACATCCGAATATCAAACTCTAAATATAGAATGACGTAGAATAACATCACTGTCAACAAGATCCTGAAATTTTAGGGGAAATACCTTTAATTTGAGAATTATGCTTTTCAACGCTACAAGTTGTCAAGAATGACGTCCACTTATGATAATCGAGTACACAGGAATCCCATTCCATTAAACATCTGTGCTTCTAATCCACAGTCTTCTAGAAGTCTTACCAGAGCATCTGAACGCAGAGATTGTAGCAGGGACGATCACATCCAAGCAAGATGCCATGGACTACATGACGTGGACGTACTTCTTCCGTCGGCTTGTAATGAACCCCTCCTATTACGACCTCGAGGACACCGACCATGAGAGCATCAATAAGTTTCTCTCCAGGMTTATAGAAGAAGCTACTTCTGAACTTCAAACGAGTGGATGTCTCGAGATTGACGAKGTACTGATACATTTGTCATTTTCCAATTACAGCGACGCCATTTTGTAAAGCAAGGAATGATGATAGTTTTAGTCCTCGGTATTTTATGGTACCTAAAATATCTCAACACAAGCCATTTTTATGTTTTCTACTTCTACTTTCGCAAAGAATGAAAGAAAAAGGAATAGAGCTCCCGAAAACAGCTTAGGTGAAGAAGACAACAACTCCCATCGTGCTTTGTCACTTAAACTGAGTTGCTACACATTGCAAAAAAGCAAAAGAGCTCGCGAAAACCGCTTAGGAGCGAAGACAACAAAACCCATCATGCTTTGCCACTTAAAAGGCGTTAATACACATAGCCTATGTGCTGTTCCAAAGAGGGAATGACCGCTGTTTTATTGGACAGCAGAATCTAAATATTTCACGGGGGGAGATAGACAAATGCATTATTGAAAGTCTTGTAATGGCAACCTTATTACGTACTTTCTCCACATAGTTATCAAACTGGACTTGATCGTTTTATTTTCAGGATGGCGTCACGTTAACACCCACTACTCCTGCTCAGATATCCTCCTATTATTATCTCAGCCATCTGACGATGCGCATGTTCAGCAATCAGTTACACGCTGACCTCGGTCTTCCTGATCTACTAATGATTCTGTCTGTAAGTTCTTCCACTTGTATCATACTGCAGGGAATACGAAGCAAAGTCTTAAGATAGATGAACTTTTTTAACGTTTATTTATTTTTTGATGGACGAAGCAGCAAAGGGCACCACAATATCCTTAATGGTCAAGGTCAACCGGTATTCAATGCGGTCGTGTTTTTTATTTTTTTTTTGTTTTTTCGTACATGGAAAATAATTTCACTTTAAATATCCATTCAAAATCCGTTTCCATTCATCGGTCTAAGTTCGATTCTTACAATATCTCTTTATATATAAGAGGGATAATAAGGAGCAAGTTTTTGCTTATATTGCTATGTATTTTTTTTCAAACATAAACTAGAGATCGCAAGGGATGCTTGTTGACCATGGTCCTTTAACAGTGGCTAACATTTTTTTTGTATAACCCAAAACTCTCTACACACTTTATTTCATCAATACACCACATCTAGATAAGAAATGTCTTCCAGGGAGTATCAGAGTACAGTAATTGCTTGGTGTTAAGTTATTCTTACGTCTACAGGATACCCATGAATACCAAGAGCTTCCCGTGCGACATAACGAGGACGCCATTAACAAGTATGAAGTCTTAGTCTTTCTATTGTTTTGTTCGTCCTCTTTTTCTCCCTCTTTTCTTGTTAGCTTCTTCTTGAGTTTTCGTGTTCTATGAAAAGAAGTGGGTCATTTAAGCAGGAAGATCAAAAAGAAAAGAAGAAAAAACAACAACAAAATAATACAAAGCAAAGCAAAGTAGAGCAGAGCAGAGCAAAGAAGAGCAGAACAAAGAAGAGCAGAGCCAAGCAAAGCAGACCTAAACAATTCAAAACGAAAACAAATGAAAAATAAAACAAAAACAATGAGCGATTCCCATTTTCCATTTTATCTTTTACATGTAACACATGAAGTTTTTCTTTCTTCTTCTTTTCGTTAGGGATCTATCCGAGCAGTTACCACTTGAAGTTCCTCCCCATTCCTATGACAGTCCGCATACCAAAGCAAATCTGCTCTTCCAAGCACATTTCTCTAGGGTACCCCTGCCAAGTAGCGATTTCTTCACAGACCAAAAGTCTGTTCTTGATCAAGCGATAAGAATTCTTCAGGTTAGTGCTACGTTAACCCTTATTTCAACGTCATACGTTAACGGTTTAGAAGTGAGAAGGTTTAAACCAAGAAAACAAAGGAATAGCTAATTTGTACGATGGCTTCACATACTACCAAGACCAGAATGCTTTGCCCACTTTCTTTTGTAATGACATCAGTCACAATTGTTTTACTAATCTCTAAATGAATTAAAAATCTGGATAACAATGAAAATACCAAGATTGAAACTAATTACACAATAATATAAAGTATGCAAAGCATTCTGGTTCTGGGAGATGGTGAAGCCATTGTGCACATCTCGCATTCGAACGGTATTTGATAACACTGACTTCAAATAAATGCCAAGCGCCGGCTCATGCATGCTAACGGAAGACATAAGTAGAAGAAGAAGTCGAGAACAAAGGAAAAAGGCAAAGAAAAGAAGACGCAGTTGTGTAAAAAGATAAATTTAACACCGTAAAAAAAGTAGGAGAAACAACAATACTTCGACGGAGGATTAACGTCCGGTCAGCAAGTTGTTTATCCTACTTTTTTACGGTGTTAAAGTTTTCTTTTTTAAACAACTGTTTCTTTAGTTTTCTTAGTTTACTGCTAGTTTCCACATAAAGAAAAAAAGAAAAGTGTGCGACTCAAGACATAGACATAATCGTAGTCATAAGCATAAGGCAAAGCATAGGCTTATTTTGTGTGTGTTCATTCATAGGTTCCGCTGTGAACCGACCTGACCTAAGACCCCGGCAAAACGGTCAGGGAAAGTTGGCGGAGATTTCACCCAACATCATCTGACATTTTTTCATAATAATAATGAACCTAGCAACTTTCAGCTTTAAAATATTGTTTCTGTCTGTGTTTGTGACCAATTTTTTCTCATTTCAGGCGATGATTGATCTTTGTGCAGACGAAGGTTGGCTTGCCACTTCTCTTCGTACCATGCATATAGTTCAGATGATCATCCAGGGATGTTGGCTTCATGACTGTTCGTTAATGATGCTGCCATCAATCACCCCACAGCATCTATCTCTGTTTGTTGACTCGAATGGTTCTCCTATTGACAGCGTTGCGGAACTCGTCGACATTGTGCAAAGCAATCCAGATAACTTGGTGAAAATGCTGCGAGGGTCTTTTAGTTCAAGTCATATTGATCACGTGAGTTAATTAAACGATTGATAGATTGATTGATTACTTGATTGCTTAATTGGTACATGATTGATTGATTGATTGACAGATTGAAACACGCACGATTGATTGATTGGTACATGATTGATTGATTGATTGATTGACAGATTGAAACACACACGATTGATTGCTTGGTGCATAATTGATTGATTGATTGGTACATGATTGATTGATTGATTGGTACATGATTGATTGATTGATTGATTGGTACATAATTGATTGATTGATTGGTTAAATAATTTATAGATTGATGGAGTGATTAATGTGTACTCAGTGAATCAATAGTCGACTTGCAAATTTTGCCTCAGTAGTCACACACAAAAGGACCAAGACGAGGCGCCGTGCATAGTGCTCAAAATTGACTGAGCTTTACGCACGACCCTCGTCTTGATTATTTTATGTTTGACTACTGAGGCGAAAGTCGGCTATTGACATTTACGGATAATATTGAGTTCGACCAGCTGAAAAGAATTCATAAATGTCTGAATAAATTAAGAATGTGTGTTGCACATGAACTAAACGCTAGCAAATAACACGTCATAACAACGACGTCTTAACCAAGCTTTATCTTTATCAGATGTTGAACGTAATCAAAAATCTCCCAGTGATTAACATGTCTATGAAATTACGTGGAGCCTGGGCCGACGGTGACGGAGCTCAACAAGAGGAAAGACCAATCAAACTTGACATTCCAGATGGTCGTCATGACGACTGGAGTAAAGTTCACGCTGACCAGGAATATGCATTGAACATTAACTTAAAGCGCTTAAATCGTATAAAGGTAAGAATACATGTCGAACTAGTAGTTCATTTCTAGAACTGTACATGTCTTGCGGTTTCCATTCACTGAATCCTTATTATTTAGGGCTATGTGGCACTATTTGGCAAGAACGTATTCATGTTTTTACTGTGCAGCTATTAAATCCGTGAAACAAAACTAGACTATTAAATTGTGGTAGTCAAATAGACAATTTTTTTCATTTTTACTCAACTGTTTGCGCTCTAATGATTTCACCGTAAAACCATGAAACACTTATTCATAGTTGTAAATTAAATAGTGTTTGTTCTTGTCGTTGTTAGTGGGTTGCACTGAACAGTGTATTATCGTCCTTTTTTCAGGGTAACGAATACAAAGTTCACGCACCGCGGTTCCCTAAGTCAAAGACAGAAGGCTGGTGGCTTGTACTAGGAGACACAGACACAGGAGAACTGATTGCTCTTAAAAGACTGGGTACTATTCGAGGTGCTACCAAGACAACGCTTTCGTTTTACACTCCCGAAGACCTTGGCCGTAAAATATATACCCTTTATCTGATAAGTGATTCATATTTGGGTCTTGACCAACAATATGATATTTATTTGGAGGTAGTGGAAGCAGATATCGCTAGCCAGTTTATAACTGAAGTGAAATTTTAAGAGACGACTTGATTCTAACTTCGGGTAGAATATATGTAGTAGGCAATGTGAAGCGACGCCATTTTGTACAGTAACGCATGATGGGAATTATAGCCTTCCCACTTAAATAAATAATGAAGAAATCTCCCTAAAAACATTTTTATGTTTTCTTTGTGTATAAATGGCACAACAATATTTAATTTCTGGACGTAAAAAGCGAAAAAACGGCTTAGAAGCGTTTGATTAATGTTTTAGCAAACACGGGAAATTGCGAGGACTGCAATTCCCATCATGCACTGCTGTACAAAATGGCGTCCTTTTCAATATGGTCGAATTGTTAACCCTTCAAAATCTATTTTTGGTATGCTTCACATAGTTTTGTTATCGCCGCTTAAGTTGTGTTCGAACCGATTTAGCAGATTTTTATTGGGCAATACATACATGTCATTATTGCTCTTTTTCAATCATTCCTGGCATGAGATTCAAAAGATAAAAAGACCGGCGGCCATGTTGGAGGAATGAACAACAGATACTAATGAAGAAGTCCTTTGTTTGAGTTCATCCAAGATGGCTGCTGCGGTGACGTATAGTCTCAAACAAGAATAAATTACTTGTAGAAAAGATCTAATAAGAAACAAGGGAATTGACAAGAAGGTACATCGTTGCATGTAAAACGTTAAGGTTTATTAATGTTGTTCGAAAACTTCAAGCATGTCAGAAAAAATGTTTGCATTTCTTTAGATTTTAAGATTATGTATCATGACATATTGTACAGCATACAGCAATTAAAAATAATAATTGTTGGCAAAACGGTGATGTGCAAGTGTTCTTCGACAAAATATCCATAGGGATGTTAAAAAAAGTCAAGCTTGACGGTCTGCAATCCTTTTGCTTTTGAGGTTGTTTACATTCTTTTGCCATCCAGTATCAGTGGATTTTGTTCCATGTGACCGTTTAATGCAAAATGCCTATTACACTTCGACTAGAACACATTCATTTCACGGTTTTATGAAACCACTATATGAGACGGGTCAGAGAATCCGTGAAACAGTTTATTTCTTAGCAGTAGTAATTTGTTTCACCGGTTTAATGACCACACAGTGAGAGAAACGTATGCTAGACCCTCGGCCATGTCTAAAGCGCCGTTTACAAGAGCAATTTTTCCTTGACAAGTTTCTTGACAAGGAAAAATTGTCCGTGTAAATGGTCAACAAGTTTTCCTTGACAATTCCTCCTTGACAATGTTTCTTTGCTCGTGTAAGCGAAGAACAAGTTTTCCTTGACAAGGAAAAATTGTCCGTGTGAATGGTAAACAAGTTTTGACAATTTTTCCTTGCCACATTTTCTTTGTTGTCCATTTACACGAGCAAATTTCGTCCTTGACAATGTTGGCTTTTTTTTTGTTATCAAGGAAAAATTGCTCGTGTAAACGGCGCTTATGGTGACCTGAAAGCAACCACAGCATTGCTTAAGGAAGCGTTTTTTTAGGAAATACAAATAGTTTAATAGCAACTGAAAACCACTTATGTTATGGCCGAAGGGCCTAGTTAATTTTGCCACTCTTCGCTTTCTCTTTAAGTGAGCGTTCTCGCTATTCAAAAGGGCTTTTAAGTAGGACACATTAGGCTACCTTAATAATAAAATATTTCTCACGCTCTGAAACTAAGTAAACTGTCAAAACAAGTTCCAGGAATATGTAGAATGTCTGTTGATATCCTATGGGATGGTCAACGTATCTCTTAAYAAAATCTGTCGCCCCAGGTAAGAGAATCCGTGGAATCGAGTAAAAAGCAGCTTTGGAATCCGGAATCCCTATCCTGGAATCCGGAATCCAAATACTTGAAATTCATAATCGAGCAAAAATGTTGAAATCCAGTAACAAAAATTCTTTGAAATCCGGAATCACAAGGCTTGCAATCTGAAATACTCTATAGTTTTCTGGATTCTCCTACATGGGGCGAAATCTGTAGTATAAACGAGTTCTCCCCGAGGTATACTTAATTTTATCCTATAAATTATATAATTACAGAATTTATTCATAAGATACGAGGTGTTTTAAAGGACATTTAACGAGAGTCACTCAAAAATGACGCCCGCTATTTACGGCGAAATGCACCATGGGATTGACGGAAGTATCGACCGACCGACATTATTGTGCTGTAGGACTAGGAACAAAAGTAATTCGTGCTCAAAATGTTTTTTTTTTAATCTATAATTGGACTGGAACCGTCTAACCGCTGTGATCTGCTCTTGAACATTAAGGAATGATTACCATATTTTTGATGCCATATTCGGTAGTGATAATAGTGGATCGATTTAAAAATACAGCTAATCAATATTCTCGCATTAGTTTAAAAATTATTCTCTTCTATACCTGTGGTTAATTTCAAGGATATTAGAAGCGCAAACATGTTTGAATTGAGAAAAAAGTCCGCTAAGGAAATGTACAGCGGATAAACGTTTCAGTCCTATAACAAATTTCTGCTCTACTCAAATTTTCAGCAATCTTTATTGGATCATCTTTTTGATTATCTCCGACGACGGAAAAATAGGATGAAACAATGGCTAAAATCCATGATACCATGATGCATTTCGTCAAACTAACATGACGTCATCATTAGGGCAGATATGACCATGGCACTTTTCTGATGTACACGATGGATTGTGTTCTGGGTTGTACCTACAACACCATATTTGACGGCATGAAAAAAATACTTTGTACTGAGTCTATTCCACAATGCAAAGCTATTTCAGAAAAGGCCCTTTTCACACATTGTTAACAAAACAAATCTTACATTAAGTGAAAAAACTGCGGGATTTCAACACGACTTTTTACAATCCCTACCACAATTACAAGCAAGACGCATGCAATGAAAACGATGTGAGCACCAGTCGGCCTTTTGGCATTCAACTGTGCAGTAACTTGTATTCCAGCAGCAGGGATAGAAAGCCTCGTTAGAGCAATGCGAACACCACTGCTTTCGTTTCGTCGCCGATACAGCTTCTTTAAGCGCTCTATTAGCCTCTTCTCGTGAAGTTTGCAAAGTTCTTTGTATCTGTCGCTCGTGTTCCTTTTTGGCTTTCTTTAATGCTTCAGCGATTGCTTTTTCGCGCTCAAGGCGCTCTTTATTCGCTGCTAATTTTGTTTCATCGTTGTTTCTGCGCTCTCTAGGCCGTGAACTTCCACTTTGATGCGGTGAGGATAGATTACTGCAATCATCGTTATATGTAGACGAAGAACCGTTTGTAAGGCCACTATTGTACACTCCGTCTGAGTTTAACATAGTCCTAATTCGCTTTTCCTCGACTATAAGTTTTTCATACTTTTGTTTATAATCTTTCGCTCGATTTCTTTCGCTTTCTAAATTTAAAACAGCAGAGTTTAAGTGATCTTCTAGTGTTTTCGCGTGATCTTGGAGAATTTTGATGCGTTCGTCTTTTCGTTTGTTGAGTTCGGCGTTTTTCTTGATTTCGTCGTCTAATTTTTTACTAATTGCGTCTATTTTACGTTGGAGTGAGTTTTCTTCGCTTGGTTTCGAGCAGTTGCAATTCTCGTCCAGTGTGTGTGTCTGTGTTGATCTTTCGCGTGAATTTGCCTTTGTTTTTGTGGGCTCAGGAATTTTCTGAAAATATTAAAAAAGCAATTTTTAGGACACCTTTGGTATCGCGAGTTTCGGCCTTCCCATGAAGCACCACGAGCTTGTTATATTTTTCCCGTCAATCAATTATCGCCACTAAGAAAGAGCAGTTTGGCAGAATCTAATATAAAACCTCTTTCCTACTATTATTTTACTGGGAGTCAAAAAGACTGAAATACCCCTAATTTGTGTGTTTCATTCAAACAAAACGAGAAAAAAATACTGCATCTCCCGCAGAGAAAACAAGAAAAACAGTTTTTGGTTTAGTCACAGAGTTCGCCTGCCTCGTGTCGCACGATTATGACATAGTACCGCAGAAACCGCATTTCATTAAGAGCGAGCACCAATATAAAAGCGCGTGTGGTTCTTTCCTTCCTCATTTCTAGTACACAAAAAACACTAAATATAACAAAGTTATAAAAATCTCGCAAGGAATAGTTGGTCTGCCTGCAACATAAGAAGGCGTGACAGCTCAATTTACTTTGCTCGAGGAAATGACGTCATTCCATACTGTCAATTTCTATTCATAAAAGCTATTAAGACGAATTACCTTTCTATGCTTATGTTGTGACTGATCCAAGTATTTCTCATAAAGTTTCATTTCCTCCACCGCCTGCAGCCATCTTTGAGGTCGTTTCTTCACGTCCGGCTTTTGCGTAATGGGGATGACGTTCTTGCCAATGACCCAGGCTCTTTGGTGCGCGGTCCCAAAAAACCGAACAAGGGCCTTGGTCTTTTCTTCATTCCACGCTAAAAGTTTTGACGGCCATGGTGGTTCACCGGTCATCTTGGCCCAAACTAACTCGTGTGGGTAAAACTGTGGAGGTTGGAAGAAAGAAAATGTTTATGAGACAAGCTGAGAATAATATGAGCAATGTCTGTTATTTGACAATACCGTAGGTTGTATTTAAGCCAAGATAGTTACATAATCATTCATATCATGCGTGGTCCCCACTCTCCACTCGGCCCTCGCAAGTCCCCCTACATGAAGTCTGTTAAACAGGCTTTGCACATTCTTAACCGCTAGTTATTTCACATTCGTCCTCACAGCAAACAATAACAMAGTAATATATAAACATAGCATTTAAAGGTTAATGGTCCATCAGCATTTTTGTGTGATCGGTTTGAGATTTTAATACATGTAAAATGAAAGATGAGGTGATCCATTCGCAATCCGTTTCCATCCGTCCGTTTTAAGGTCGAATAGAGCATAAAAGGATAATATAGAGTAAAGTTTTCATTTGATTACGATTTATGTTTCTTTTCAAACAAAAACAAAAGCTCAAAGAAAATGCTGGTGAACCATGGCCATCTAACTAGGTAATGTTTTTGGTACATTGTTAATTTTATAAAGAGCAACTTACACAAGGTTTGGCAAACCAATTGGTAGTTCGTACGTTGGACATAAGATAACAATCAGAGCATCGTATTAACTCTTCCAGCTGAGATATAAAACAAAATAAAACATGTATTTAATAAGTCGACTTTCAACGTCGAGGCCGTGCTTCACCTTTGTGCAAACTCTTCTTTGAAACACAAGCTGTTCCATGTCACAAAATCTCAACTTTGCCACGCTAACTATTTATTATAATAATACAAGATTCATTCAGATCAAAATGTGTTCTGCAACTGACATTTACACGGAGACATTACGTAAACATTACACCACTTAAGGTTTCATGAAGTGACATTTAGTCTTAGACTAATACAACTGTACGTACAGTGTCGGGGTTGAGAGGGGAATATTGAATATTGAATATCGTACTTTAAAATCTTAGGAATATTGAAAATATTCCCTGAAAAATGTAGGGAATACGGAATATTTCAATAAAACACACACAAAAACCGAGAATATAGGAAATACTCAGCCAGTGAGTAAAAAAAACGTCGATAAAATGAATAATGATTGGTAAAATAAAATCATAAGGAATATCCTCCGAAATACTATCAAGGAATGGGAATATTCACCCCTGGAGAACAGCAGAATACGGAATATCTTAAGTTCAAATATTCCCCTTCCAACCCCGATACAGCGCATGTCACACAAATTTTAAACTATTAAATAATTTTTCTTTTTCTTTTTCTTTTCTTTTTATATTGAACATTATTTTTAAACCCCTTTACAAAAGGAGCTCGCGAGTATTATTTTCGTTTGCAGACCACCTCTATGTAAATGAAAGGGAGACTTGAGCAAGAAGAAATGAGACCTAGTCCACTCTTAAATGCTGTTACAAAGGAAGCCCAAAAGTAATATAAGACTTGAGAGAAGTTAATTGTATTACATACCTCGCCATCACAATCTTCCATGATAGCTTCAGCTAATTCTGTCATTTCTGTATTCTCTGTAGAATATATTGAACACAATAAAAATACAATAATGATCAAAGGAAGTCCAAAAATGAAAATCACTCAAAAATAGAAATCCTTTATAAAATCATAGTATTCGAGACACATTTGAATGAGAAATTTATTCTAAAGTCTTTTGCAAAAATTTCTGAAAAATATCATTATATTGTCATTGAGTACATCATATGTATATTATAATACTTTTCCTCTATTCTAACTAAAACAGACTGCAAATCATTTGAATATTTTGAAATTATGTTAATTAAAAGTTATTCAAACATAATCTGCAGTTTTATGACAAAGCAAAGGCTTATATATTAAATATCAATAACCCAGATATATTGATATACTGTATCTAGTACATAATTTTCAGGCCAAACTTTATTCAATTGACTGCAGCAATAAGGTTACATAAAAATCTGTACCTCCAAAGTATATGATTGAGTTATGCAGCATCCATTGGGCTTCTTCTCTGAATTCTTTTGGTGTTTTGTAGTGCTTTTCTTTAACATTCTGAAAAGAAGAAAGCCCGGATTAAAAAAAGGCAATAACGAATGGCTATAAACTCTGAATGTGTAACAGTTCAACGTAGCATATTCTATTCACACTTGGGATTGCTGGGAGAACACTTGGAATTCTTTTTCACTCACTTTTAGCTTATTATTCAATTCAAAACCTTTCTCGTGTTATTCCAACAATGCTGTGTGTTTCTAACAGAAATTGAAAACACCGAAAATATCTTCAAATGATTGAATAATAATTGATCAAACCTTTTCAAGTAAACTTAAATCCATGGGTTTGAAAATAAAATCAAGATAGTCTTCGTATTCATCAAAGTCAATGGGTCTTAAGAAGTCCTTAGCCTGTGAAAAGTTGCAAAATTGTTAATCTTTTGATATATATTACAATAATTTTTTATTGCATGATTTATTAATAGATTATTAATTTAAATATTACCTTCTCTTTCATTCTCTCCATTGTAAACAGCAACATCTTTGAAAGCGCATCTGCTGACTTTGAACTTATAAGTTGTGGAAGCTTTTGATGCTAAAATTAAGAAAACACAATAAAAAATATAATTAACATGTTAGCAGGAAATCTAATGCACAAGATCATTAAACCATAAAAAAACTCTTTTTGAATGGCTATACAACAACATTAATAAAGTACCAATCGAAACCTGGCTTTTGATTGCTCCCTTATTGTAAAAGCGTCAATGGTTCTAAAGGTTTAAATTCATGGTATTGTTTGGAAGACTGTTCTATTGTTTTCTCAACATAGCATTTGCTGCAATCAGTGCTGACTGTCGGTATGAGGACCAACAATGCATTTCAGTCTTGGAAAACATCTATACTATATATCTCCAGTATTCAATTTTGCTTTTTACTTTCAGAAACTGATGGACCACTTATAATCAGATCGAAGCTTGTGATTGATCGAGACCAAAAAAAAAGTTTTTAACATGAACAAAGAATTGCCCTAGTTCATTATGACGTCACATCATCATTCTAAGATATTGTTTTAACGCTAAGGACTATGGTCGCCAGAAGGGATCAGAGTGACTGCATATCAAATAACATGTACATGAGCTATCATTTATACATGATATATATCAAAAACGCGATTCACTGAAGTTCTACTTTAGTCGACAATATAAATGGGTCCAAATTTCCACTGTTTTTGAGCCTCGTTTTTCGATGTAAACATCCTGTGACGTCATAATGAAATAGGGCAATTGTAGGATTATGTTAAACAATGCTTCTTATTGATCTACTCAGGGCATCTTTTTTGTTTGTTTGTTTGTTTGTTTGTTTGTTTTATTACATGTCTCTCTTTGTTATTTCATCAATTCACAATCTTTGTTCTAACAGTAGTGTAGTAATTTTGGGAACATCTGTATTATACATGTACCTGACAAGAAGGACATTTCCATTTTCCAGAAGATACAGAACCATCGCGTGCACATTTTCTATGGAATACACGTGGACAGTGATCGCACTGGATAATTTCACCAGCACCATGACATACCCAGCAATACCAATCATGGGTTTCCTGTGTCTTTTCTAGCTCCTGTGAAAAACATATAATGAGTAAGAATAGTTCATTTGCATACTAGACATTTTCTGAAGTGCAAAACCATGGTGCATTGTGGTCTAGATTCAGAACAAACAATGCCATATTTGGCTGTATGGGCAAAATGTGCAAGTCCAAATCTATACCACAATTCACTGCATAATGCTATTTTAGAAAATGCAATCTATGATTGGCCAGGGAAAGAACAGGGACAAGTCAATTGACAACATTTGGTCAAAGTTTCAGCTTGACTAAATATATGACTTGAATGTGGAGTCTACAATTACATTCGCCCTCACTAAATGACAAGTTCAAGATGTATGGAATGGTACTGGAGTTTTAAAAAACACAACAATGCCAATTTGTAGAGTTTGCCCTGGGTACTACTCAGGCGTGGCAAACGGTACCTTCAAAATCACCAAATCTCGTAAAAAAATAGATTTCAATTTTKTTGTATATTAAACAAGTCTCAAAGTATCTTTTCCACAAAATGTTGTCCTTTGCAGGGTCTTGGTTGGTCTCAGATCAGATTTTGTAAATCTAACAGTCTAGATCTCTAATTCAAAAGCTCAATATCGCAGTTCTCGTAAAATTTCGCAGGACTAATCGCCACCCATATTAATATCAGACATAATTAAATCAAGTTGGAGAAAAGTTTAAAAGATATCATACTGTGTTTTTGTTTGCCGATTGTTGCTGCTAAAATAATACAACTGTATAATTGGTTTTGTTTTTTCATGCTTCATATTCAATAACGTGTCAAAGTGAACGTTTAATAACGCTTTCACAGTGTTCTGATCCAAAGGTCAGTACTTGCATAAGTGATATTTTCTCTTTGAACAACAACAATTCTTGTAGCTGAATGCTTTAGCTATTGTTGTGTGTATTCAACAAAGAGTTCGTGAACTTTTTGTAACCTTTAGACAAAATACCCTTACTACATCAAAGCTTGAGAAATCACTTTCCGTGAGATATTTCTTAACTATTTTGTAAACACTTACCCTAAAGCTTTAAGAAAGACCAGAGAGAACAATGGCAATAAATCTTAACTTGTCTTTTTAAGCTATATTTCTTTGAAAGAGTTCTTAATAAATTCAAATTCCGAATCACCTARTTGTTTATGAATATATAGCCTTTATCATATTTATGAACGTATTTAACAATAGACAACGAGTCGTGCTGTTTCTATTCTTCCTTGGTATTGCAAATGTGAATCACATTATGAAAGCTTCACGTAGCTAAACATATGCTATTTAAGCATATTTTAGTTCATTCTAATTATGAATAMTTGTATTTGTGAAAAAATATTATGATATATTTTTCGTTTTTATTTAAGATCCTTAAGCTTATATGTTAATGATTGTATTCGATCAGCCAGAAATCTAGCAAATGTTTCATTGTTGTATTTATTACGCGAGTATATTTTTTGTTGATATATCTGAGCTATAWCGAACCCTAAATCTCACACTCACGACCATGTAGAAAAAAAATGTTTGATTCCGCCTTTGGCAACGATTAGTTTCACATTAACTTTACGTTCTGCGGAAAATGAATACAATTAGTTTTTTTCTAGGCATGGCTGCTCACTTCTTTTAATAAAAAAAAAATTCCCTAGCCGCATAAACTCAATATAAATTGCGCGTATTCAATAATAGTATGGTATAATAAAGCATTTATACTCCAAATCGTGGTTTTATTTGATCAATGGAATATGTTTTTGCAGGAAAATTTTGCGTGACACCAATCGAAATTTCTGAGTGCATGGTTTCATGTTCGCGAGATGATATGAATATTCATTAAACCTTTGCAACGCACGGCGTCTTCKTTCTTTAACCCGAGTGGAATCCTCGGAAATAACTTGTATTTTAAATAAAGAGTTTACGCTTTCCCTAGTGTCATGTTTAAAGCGAAAGGCGAAGAATTTCGAAAGTTTTTTTTGGTTCGAATCTCAAAGCATCCGTGATGTAATTCAAAAAGCAATCCCTTTTCGCGAAAAAAGTAACTAATTTGTGGAGTTATTCTTGTCTTGATAAATTTAATAGTTGTTAGAATAGTGCTTTTAGTACGTGAAAATAATCGTCCTACTTCAATAGGGCCGAAGCCAGACAAAGATGTACTGTTCGCTTAGTGATTCGCGCACTTCCGATTTTTTCGTGACTAACAACCGGGTTTACATTCAAATCAGCAGMCCTTACCTGTTCTTTTTCCCTTTGCCGAACTCTAAAAGCAGTCTGTGGAACTCCTTTGGACTTTCCGTGACTTGAAATTGCTGTAACTTGAATAAAAAAGCCATCTTTTACTGCAAACTTGAGCTGTTTGAGTATCTCAGTTTTTGTCCAGTCGTATTCCTGCTGAATCGCTCGAAGAATTCTCTCTTCGTTGGGACATTGCTTTTGAGAAGATATTTTATTTACCGCTTCTATAAGACCATGAACGTAAGCAGGCTCAGCATGTCTTCTCACCAAAAACTTTGCCATATTTTAAACCCTTTAAAAGGGAATATTTTCGACAATAACAAACGGGTCTTCGCTAGGTCGGGAGGTTTCCCTTTATCACATGCGGCACAGCTACCTTAGTGCGCATGCTCTTTGTCTTCGGAAAACCCGATTACTMCCCGATCACGTAACGGATATGAATGAATCGTGACCGGAACGAAAGCTAAGGAAGCCGCGAACGTGAGCGCTACCTTTGATATTGTATTTATGCTATGGTTTGATAATATAACTATAGAATTTTATTCGTTAATAAGTAGCTGTTTGTCACGAAATGACTGAACTATCACGAGAATACGAAAAGGGTAGAGCGAAAAGATGAAACAGGTGCGTTGATAGAACCCAAGACAGTCAACAGTGAATTATCCCAAAAAAAACATACTATATGATATGATTTTGTTAATTGGTAAATTGATTAGCTCAGCTACTTGAAGTTTCTTATTTCTTTATAGCGTTTAGGCAATTTACTTATTTTTATTTCTTTCTCCATTTCTTTTCTTTTCTTTTATTCTCTTTCAATTTCTTTTCGCTTCGTTTCCGTTCTTTTAATTTTTTTTCATCTCTTTTCTTTTCTTTTTTTATYTAAGTTTCTTTTCTCTGTTTTTCCTTGATTCTTTTCTCTTTTTTTTTTCTTTTCCTTTTTGTTTTTCTCTGCATAATTATTTCATTTTAATCCTTTTTTTACTCGGCGTTTTCATTTGTTTCATCTTTTTTCTCTATTTCATTTACTTTCATTCTGAAATCAAATCAATTTTTTCGTCAATGAATTGGCTCTTTATTCTTTTACATTTTGTTATACTTATCAAGCATCTCAAAACGATCACTATGTTTCACTACAAATCTTGAACTAACACTCTTTCTCACACGTGATTGCTGTGACTACGTGTCTACTTAACTATCAGCCCAATATCACTATATTCGTGAGAAAGTAATGCCTTTTTATGATATCGATCAGATAAAACAAAGATTTATTTTTGTATAAATTATATTATTTGGTCCACATTATTTAGTCCACATTTTCGTGACAAAACATGAAGAAGGAATGTAACTATGAATCCGGTAACATGTAATCATACATTGTTTTGCGGTTGGATTGTACATGTTCTGTGGTTTGAGCAACATTCATTTAGMCCTGCCGTTCAATAAGTAACCCGGAAGCTGTGGTCGCGCATGAGCAGTTGCTTGAAATCCAATCTCAGTCCTCGACCTTTTAAAGTGCATTGGACATCGATCGGAAATAATGGTTTTGAATTTCTCGCACCCCGCGCGACCCTCCTCGTTCAAACATTCAGTGGACTTCTCCGATCGTTGAGCGATGGATCTCGATTGACCTCCGATGGGATATGGCGGTCGTCTGTCCAGTTTGTTCACAACAATGGAGTTGGTTATCGACGGCAAGGCTTTATCGGGTAAAGATTGAAACAGAGAGCTGTTTTCAAGTATTAATGGACAAAGTACAAGAGGACATTAGAGAGTCATTTGACTGTCATTTTGTGACGTCATGCAGGGTTCTAAAACCGGTTATGAACCGGACAGCTGGCCATCTTGAAAAAGGGTCGGCCGAGATGACCCTGGGGACGAGTTTGGTCCACAGTGCCAATTCCTGTGCATTGAGGAAATTATAGGAGTAATAAGACCCTTTAATTATATTCAAAAGTATATATTCCCTCTCAGTCTCTTATTCTTGAAGTAATTTCAAAAGTTCCTTTGACATCAAATATGAATACATTGCACGTACGTTCTGTTGTATTTTTATTGATTTATTCATTTAATTATAATTTTCATTGTATAATTTCATTTGTAAGTTGAACAATAATTGAATATGGTAAATTATGATAAATTCTCTTACGCACAGAAAATATTATACAATTACACAGTTTCCCTTATCGAGAGGTTTTGATTTACAATAGATATTTAGATAATATTAATAATTACAAATCGTACATACTGCCGCCGAACCACCATTGCGTGGTGCTGTCTGGACTTTGTGTACCTCTAAAATACATGTTTCKAGTATGTGGACCCTCACAATAATACCCAAAATTATTCTCCCCGACAATGGTCCCATACATGGGCTTATATGCACACTCTCCCTGAGCACTATCAATATGAAGTGCCTGCTTGCCCTTACGTTGCCARAATTGGGCCTTAGTGTGGAATCCTGGGAAACCACGGATGTTGATGTAGTCGACATYTTTGCAGACRCCATTGCCTTCGAAAGTCATAATGTCGAAGTCTTCAAACTTTCCTCTTACGTAGTCTTTGAAGTCTTGAGTGTGAGTTGCAAAGCCAGTAGTTGCTCTCCAATAGGATGACTGGTCTGCAACGGACAACATTCTCTCCTTAGAAAGTCGATAGGAGTCCCAGTTRGGGGAGTTTTCGTGGACAGGCAYGCTTTCRGCAAGGGAGGAGGTGCAAAAGGCTGTTTCATTGTTGTGTCTTATTGAGTGAGACATGACGAGAGTCCATGCAAAGCCCGGTTCTGAGTGGAAGTCGCACCATACTTGATAGTGCTCTTTGTCGCCGTCAGAAATGGTGTAACCACCGTTGGCACAGTAACCGTTGAGACGATAGTCGAGGCATGACTTGAACTCCTGAGGAAAGAGTGAATATTGCAATAAATGATTCAATGTATGTCTTCTTACTCTGTGGAGACCCCCATGATGTATAAAGGTCTATAGCCAACCGTGATGCATTGCGGTCGTGACTCGATATTTTTCAGTACGAAAAATTATTCACCTTCACGCTGGTTTTACATGTAAAGAAAAAAAAATGATTCAATGTTCCTCTTCATACTCTTTTGAGACCCCCGTGATGTGTAAAGGTCTGGGGCCAACCGTGATGCATTGCGGACGTGGCTTAATATTTCTACGCCGGTTTTACATGTAAAGAAAAAAATGATTCACGAGTACAGTCGTTCAGAAACAAGATTTGTTTGGTTAATATTAAAAAAAGATGCATTTTCAGTGTTCAAAATCAGTAAAAGCGCGAAACAGTTGGCGTTTATATATCTTCGATGAGACTCTGCGAGACTAATTGATCGACGCAATAAATAAGGAAGGAGAGAAGAAACTAAAGAAAGAATAATAYACATTTTTAACAATGACCAATAAAGTACCTGCTTCTTTTTCTTTGGCAAGAATTCTTCCTTTTTCTCTTGAACGACATATGGGTAGAACGCTCCTTGCTGCCATTGAAACATGGGAAGCTTGGAGGGGTCGCATGGACTTACAGCTGACTGAAGGGGTTGGAAAACAGAAGGCTGGGGTGCAACTTGATAAGGTTGGGGTTGAGGGTAAGGCTGGTATGAGAATGGCTGGTATGGATATTGTTGTTGTTGCTGCTGTTGTTGTTGCTGTTGTTGTTGATTATTTTGGTGTTGCTCTGGTTGCTCCTGTTTATCACCAAACACCATATTGGAGGGATACCCTTGCATTGGTCTTGGGGCTTCAAATCGTGGTACACCTGCKCGGGGACCCTGTGGTACTCCAAAGGCTTGGTTGACTGGGTTCCAGATCCGTCCAGGTCTTGGAACAGCAAATCGTTGGGCTCCAAATTGATGCTGGGCAAGAACAGGAGGACGTGAAAGCAATGGCTGCTGGAGCCCTTGGGAAGGGTTGAATTGGAGCCACGGAGAGCCTGGTCGTGGTGGGATAACCGCTGGAGGATTACCAATGAGTGGAGGACCAAATGGTCTTGGTACAGGGCCTGATCGCCGCGTATAAAGAAAGAAAAGTTATTTATCAAAAATGGTACAAATTTGTTATGAAAATCAGTGACTGTCAAAGAATTGTTCACATTGTATCACATTGACACGTACGTAACAGAACGAGTTCCTAGTTGCTAGTTCTCGTATTTTTTTTTTTGTAATATAACGTTGAACTCTTGGGAGGCGGGCGGCGTCAATTTCATAATTTCAACTTCRACTATTATCGATAATTTGTTTCACATAATAATTCATCAATAGGTAGGCATTTTCATTTGAGCCACGCAGCTTTACTATATTCTAATATACACTTTAAACAGAACCATTACTATAAGGATGATGATAAAAACAGTTAATCTTACCCGGCACTAGAACTGGGATAATATTCTGTGGATTTCTTTTATGCTTTCCTTTCAATAACACCCTTTTATAGTGGCCATGGAATGGCATACATTCTACCGACACAAATATTACCAATAAAATAGCTAGCAACTTCATAATGGTCTGCGATTCCCCTGTCGAAATGACTACCAACTACGTTACAATCAAAGATATCTAACAGGCATTCTTTGAGTGTTAGATAAACCACCTKAAGGTCGAGTCCAAARGGCCAAGGGTGTAACCTTTAGGGGMGCGCCCARCGSGAACCAGTTGATTCGACCTTGTTTTCGTAGAGGGATTKTGGTYRAAGTGAAGGTATTTTTCTGAGTTAAACTTATTTGATATAATGAATTTAGCTAGAAATTAGTTGATTGAACTCTAATCAATCATTAACAATAAGCATTTTCAATGATTTTTTTTTTATTTTGTTGGAATAAGATGAAAAATTGCATTACAAGTATCTTAAAGGTTTTTGTTGGTCCTTAGAATGTTTTCATCTATTATGCAAAGCAAAACGAATTCGCGTAATGATTACTAGATATTAAAGTATCGGTTCRATCTATGTATTCTGGAGGGTTGTTACACATACAATAGTGTTATACATAGTGTTATACATAGTGTCATACATAGTGTTATCTACTTATACTCTCGAGGCCCTATTTTTCAGAGACCGGGAAATATATTTTTTTCATTTGGAGTTTTCTTTGTCATTCTCAACGTTTTTTTCTTTCTTTCATTCGGGTTACATCCACACGCATAACCCGGAAATTTTGAAAAAATATTTTCACTTGAATAGGATGTTATGAATCATGATTTGAAAAAGCACTGAATGACTTTTATACGAGCAAATGAAATGACAGCATATCAACGTATAGCAATYCAGTAATTCATCTTTCGATGATAATTTTATTATGATTGAAAGATAACACTTTTTCAAGGAAATTCGAATCATAATATACCATTTATTTACTTTGTTTAATCTTCATTCATTTGATATGTAAAATACTCGCTTTCTACTCTAAAATATAGCAATATGATAATATCTGCTTTCAWCAGTGATGTAAAGTTCCAAATGTTCCTTCGTGTTCAGTTGAGAAATGCTCCTAAAAGTGCGRGGAATACATAGTTCACRTAATGTTTAGTCTTGCACAAAATGGTTTMGTCTATTGGAATGCTTTTCTGGCAGTTGAAACAAGCACTAACATAAGAGATGATTRYCCAAAATTCAACTTCAAGAATCGTAGACTTTCATTTGTAGAAATCTAGTGTTGAAATCGTCTCTTGAGATAGTCTTTACAGGTATATTGTRTTATGAAGGTATTTTAATTCCGTACGCAAAGCTCCAYGGTCCTTGTCCGATTRTATTAATCGCGCATGCGCGAAACTGCACATGTTGTCCGAGTGGTAATAGTTTTAATCTGTCGACGGTCACCGTGTGATCACAGCCTTTGTAAATCTCTACAAACGAGTTATTTTCACCTAAAAAGGGAGAAACATARRYGTTTACTTGATCGTTTTGAACCATTCGATTCAAAAGATAAAAGACCGGCGGCCATTTTGGAGGAATGAGCAATATTATACAAAAGAGAAATTCTTTGTTCCTCTAAGRTGRCCGCTGTGACGTATAGTGAAACRAAGAATATATGAAAAGAGATAATAAAGAATTATTGGATG